ACCTGAACTTAATCCACTTGATTATTCCATCTGGGATAACATCTCAAGTAATGTGGAATATCATAAGGTCAAAACAATCAACGATTTACGTCGAGAAGTCGAGAAAGCAATGAAGAAAGTTGACGTTGGTTATGTACGGGAAGTGATTGGTGCTTTCCTTCGACGAGTATATTCAGTAGAAAAACATGGTGGTGAATTGATAATCGATGAGTATAGTTGATTGTTGTAGTACTCCATCGTAGCCTTTGAGACATTATATTATTACTTTATTTGTTTACTTTCTCTTGAAATAAATTGATTTTTCTGAAATGTCGCAATATTTTTGTAACACCCGGTATAAAGTTAGTAAGCGAAGGAAGTGTTTGTAAAACATTTTCGACAGCTTTTGGTGCTGTTTCCGAAATTTTGCACTAAAGTAGTATTTTGCCAGAATGTGTTTTAGTGATTATGGGCTTGTCTGGAAAGTCAGGAAAAGGATAGTTCCGCTGAGACCACCACAGTCGTCGAAGATCCCGTACCGTGGTTCCATCAAACTAAGTAAATTATCATTTATTATACTCTCCCTTCCGATTTGTATTTCTCGTTTATCTGATAGATACGGACACCTTAAGGATGGATTACACCACTGGTCAGAACCAGAAAAGAGAGAGTAAATTTCAAGCGTACCCTAGTCGACTTCCTTGCGAGGGCTTTCTTGCCCAAGATCTTGCGTTCTTGGTGCTAGAAGTCTCTTTGACTTATTGTGGCTATCCTTGCTTTGTTGGAGGTGATCAACTTCCAACAAGAAACGCAATGCTTGCTCTTTTGATCCAACTCCCCGGTTGAATTTAACCGCTCTAAACTAGCCATGGCCACGCTAGATTTTCCCGGGCAGGACACGTTACGTGGCTTGCAAAAATTCTTACGAGCTCGCCAAGCCATGTGACTCGATCTTCTCACTGCCCTGTACAATGTCCACTTTGTATAGGGCAGTGAGAAAATCGAAATGTATTAAATGCTAATGGGTATCCAATAAGATTAATTGAACGAACAATCAAACGTGCGATACGTAAGGAAAAGCAAAAAGATCAACAAAGCGATATGAATAAAAATCAGCAAAGAAATAATGACACAAATGATAAACAAATACCAATCACCATTGTTCTCAGTTATCTAGGAAAAGAGTCATATTCATTTGGAAAAAAATTTAAGAAACTAATGAAAAATATAAAACTTGAATGTCGGATTATTTTTAAAAAAACCAAACAATCGGACACCATTTACAAAACAAATGAAAGGATTAACAAACAGAAAGTTGGTGTGGTATACTGTCAGTGTGGAGACATATCCCGATTGGGATATCATTTTTTGCAGCAAAATTATTTTATACCCCGAGCGGGATATAGTTTGAAATTATATCTCGATTGGGATATCAAGAAAATTTATATCCCAAGCAGGGTATCAAGAATTTTAATTTTTAATTTGTAAGAAAATGATAAATTTTGATTATATGAGAGCTGAATATTCTTCTCCTTCTTCTTTATTTATTTTAAAATTTTTTGTTGGTTGCTGTAATTTCGTTTCTCCACATTAACATGTTTCTCATCAAATCTAATTAGTTTAAAAGGAGTGTTGCCGTGCCCAGGCAATACGAGTATAAATGCCGCAACGCCTGGAATGATGATGTTCTCTTGGCATCTTCAGAAATGCTGGCTTCACGACTGATATACGTTTTAAAAGATACAGCAAGTTGTGATTCACTTATAAAGAACACAAGGCAGTTTATCTGCAAGAACGGATAGTTAGAAAATTCCCCGTTAAACACAAAGCACGTATATTTATATATTGTCGACGCATGAGAAAAGAATTGTGTTTCAATATATGTGGGCATCGAAAAGGAAAAAAAAAAACACGGTCGACGTGGAAAGCGATTAGATCAGAAGTATATCCCATTAGGAACAATAAAAGATTAACAGCCTATTTCCCCGATCGGGATATAAAACACGAAATTTCATCGTGAAAACGATTAAAGGAAAAATGACGACATTTTGGGGTAAAATTGACGTCACCATTAGAAAGACCTCTGGAAACTACATCGGATTTTGTTATGTTTGATCAAAAGTGTATCAAGCGTCCAGCAACTATTTTTTCGAATACAAATTTTTAACAAATTTTAGTCGAATTTATATCCCGATCGGGGAAATAGGCTGTTAATCTTTTATTGTTCCTAATGGGATATACTTCTGATCTAATCGCTTTCCANCATGCGTCGACAAGATATAAATATACGCGCTTTGTGTTTAACGGGGAATTTTCTAACTATCCGTTCTTGCAGATAAACTGCCTTGTGTTCTTTATAAGTGAATCACAACTTGCTGTATCTTTTAAAACGTATATCAGTCGTGAAGCCAGCATTTCTGAAGATGCCAAGAGAACATCATCATTCCAGGCGTTGCGGCATTTATACTCGTATTGCCTGGGCACGGCAACACTCCTTTTAAACTAATTAGATTTGATGAGAAACATGTTAATGTGGAGAAACGAAATTACAGCAACCAACAAAAAATTTTAAAATAAATAAAGAAGAAGGAGAAGAATATTCAGCTCTCATATAATCAAAATTTATCATTTTCTTACAAATTAAAAATTAAAATTCTTGATACCCTGCTTGGGATATAAATTTTCTTGATATCCCAATCGAGATATAATTTCAAACTATATCCCGCTCGGGGTATAAAATAATTTTGCTGCAAAAAATGATATCCCAATCGGGATATGTCTCCACACTGACAGTATACCACACCAACTTTCTGTTTGTTAATCCTTTCATTTGTTTTGTAAATGGTGTCCGATTGTTTGGTTTTTTTAAAAATAATCCGACATTCAAGTTTTATATTTTTCATTAGTTTCTTAAATTTTTTTCCAAATGAATATGACTCTTTTCCTAGATAACTGAGAACAATGGTGATTGGTATTTGTTTATCATTTGTGTCATTATTTCTTTGCTGATTTTTATTCATATCGCTTTGTTGATCTTTTTGCTTTTCCTTACGTATCGCACGTTTGATTGTTCGTTCAATTAATCTTATTGGATACCCATTAGCATTTAATACATTTCGATTTTCTCACTGCCCTATACAAAGTGGACATTGTACAGGGCAGTGAGAAGATCGAGTCACATGGCTTGGCGAGCTCGTAAGAATTTTTGCAAGCCACGTAACGTGTCCTGCCCGGGAAAATCTAGCGTGGCCATGGCTAGTTTAGAGCGGTTAAATTCAACCGGGGAGTTGGATCAAAAGAGCAAGCATTGCGTTTCTTGTTGGAAGTTGATCACCTCCAACAAAGCAAGGATAGCCACAATAAGTCAAAGAGACTTCTAGCACCAAGAACGCAAGATCTTGGGCAAGAAAGCCCTCGCAAGGAAGTCGACTAGGGTACGCTTGAAATTTACTCTCTCTTTTCTGGTTCTGACCAGTGGTGTAATCCATCCTTAAGGTGTCCGTATCTATCAGATAAACGAGAAATACAAATCGGAAGGGAGAGTATAATAAATGATAATTTACTTAGTTTGATGGAACCACGGTACGGGATCTTCGACGACTGTGGTGGTCTCAGCGGAACTATCCTTTTCCTGACTTTCCAGACAAGCCCATAATCACTAAAACACATTCTGGCAAAATACTACTTTAGTGCAAAATTTCGGAAACAGCACCAAAAGCTGTCGAAAATGTTTTACAAACACTTCCTTCGCTTACTAACTTTATACCGGGTGTTACAAAAATATTGCGACATTTCAGAAAAATCAATTTATTTCAAGAGAAAGTAAACAAATAAAGTAATAATATAATGTCTCAAAGGCTACGATGGAGTACTACAACAATCAACTATACTCATCGATTATCAATTCACCACCATGTTTTTCTACTGAATATACTCGTCGAAGGAAAGCACCAATCACTTCCCGTACATAACCAACGTCAACTTTCTTCATTGCTTTCTCGACTTCTCGACGTAAATCGTTGATTGTTTTGACCTTATGATATTCCACATTACTTGAGATGTTATCCCAGATGGAATAATCAAGTGGATTAAGTTCAGGT